GAGGCCGATAAATCCCGCCTCGTCTCGCCGCTCGGACCCTGTCCGAGGCGAGTTTCTCAGGCCGCGCCGCCTCTCCCCCGCAGTACGCCATCCTCATGACCATGGTGCTGACCATCTTCATCAAATACGTGCTGCACTCCATCGACCTGCAGAACGAGAACCCCTGGGACAGCAAAGCCGTCTACATGCTCTACACGGAGCTCTTCACGGGTACGCCACCCTCCTCCTCCCGGCTTTTCCTTCCCACCTCCCGCTTTGGGACTTGAGAGAGTTTCCTGCAGCTCTGTCAGGCTAAGAAGGCTTAATAACTCGTCTTGGTCACGGTGCTAACGATCTGCGCTTCTTTTTCCCTTCCTGAGCTGCTCTCCAGCCTCTCGGGGCTCGTTTCGGCAGTCGATTTGTGCCGGGGGCAGGAGGGGGAAGAGCTAGCTGAAGCGTCTCTTTCCACCCTTTCCCTCAGGCTTCATCAAAGTCCTGCTCTACATGGCCTTCATGACCATCATGATCAAAGTCCACACCTTCCCGCTCTTCGCCATCCGCCCCATGTACCTGGCCATGAGGTGAGTTGGGTTTTGGGGCCCGTCTTCGGCGCTGGGGCTGTCTCCGAGGAACTCTCTTAACCCCAGCGACTCCGGTCTCGTTCCAGGCAGTTTAAGAAAGCGGTGACGGACGCTATCATGTCCCGCCGGGCCATTCGCAACATGAACACGCTGTGAGTATCGGGGAGAACGTCGCTTTCCCCTGGCAGCTCTCTCCTGCTGTCTGTTCCCGTGTGCCCCTTGAAGGTCGAGGTCTGGCAGGAGGAGGCTCTTGCTCGTCAGAAGGGATTTTTCGGGAGGTTTCTGGACCCCGGTGAATCTCCCTTCTGCGTAACGCTGTTCTCTAAACTCCGCCGTCTCCCTGTCCAGCTACCCCGACGCCACCCCGGAGGAGCTGCAGGCCATGGACAACGTGTGCATCATCTGCCGCGAGGAGATGGTGACGGGCGCCAAGCGTTTACCCTGCAACCACATTTTCCACACCAGGTAGGTGAGCGCTTTTGCTGCCAGCCGTCTGTCACCGTGTTTTTGGAGAGGGAGCGCCCCCGGGATCTCCTTCCCCTCCGGAGCTGGAGGGTGGTTTTGGTCGGCAATTTGGGAGCGACGTGTCCCATCTCCCTCAGGGAGGTGGATTGGTCCTTCCTGGGCCAGGTGGAGGAGAATGAATGCAGACCAGCTCCGCTCGGTTACAAACGGCGGGGCTGTCGCGTCGCGGGGTGGCACCTCGGGGAGGTTTTCGCGTCCCTGACGAAATTATCACGTGGGTGCTCTTAACGGCGGCGT